TTCCTCTATAAAAGAAGAGCTCCTCTTCCATTACAAGGGTTCCAAAAATTTTGCTAAGGCAAACAATATACATCTCTCTATATCTCTCTATTTTGAGCTCCAAATTGCTTGGTTCTTGGCCCCTTTGCACACTAACTCTTAGCCTAACACCTCCATCATCAACCTAAGCATCTTGGAGGCCATTTTCAGAGACTAAGGGACTAGTTTTTGGTCCAAGAACCTGCAAGTTTCGCAGCTGTGCATCAAGGGTGAGAAACACGCTCTTTATTCCCCATTTTTGCATAGACTTTTAGGCTATCTTGCATGCTGTTTTGAGCTTAACTTATAACTGATAAAAGTTCTGTTTTTGCATTATTTTGAAGTTTGTTTAAGATCACTTTTGTGTTTGGGGTTGTTTACCCCCTCTTAGGCCTTGTTTGGCCTCATTTTTGTGCCTTTTTTGTGAGTTTCGGGACCACCTTATATTGGCCCTCTCACCACTAAAATCCAAAGGGATTTCAGTGGTGGGGATGGTGTTTTGAGGTTCTAAGAAGGAGAGGGGTGATCCTCTCCTTTGTTGTCTTGTTTATTAGCATATTTGGCCTTCCAAAGGGGCCTATATTTGCACACTTCTTGAGCATGTTTCAGGCCTTTTTCAGTAAGTTTTAGGGCCTACATAACCCCTTTCCAGAGTTGTTTTTGCTATGTTAGATGTCCTTCTTGCATGTGTAGAACAACCTCTTGCATGGCCTTCCAAAGGAGCACCTCATTCTAGCATGTATTGGACACATTTCAGTGGGTATTTGGTTATATTTTGGCATGCCATGAATTAGTTTTAGGTTGGTTTAGTGGCCCCTTGAATGCTTCATATATATGTAGTGTAATCCATACTTACTAGCCTATGTTGCATGTTGTTTTGGCCCTCCATTCTAGCATGTTTTGGCCATACTCCAAACATGTTTTGTTCATATTTTGGGGTGCCTTAGCTCTATTTTTAGGCCTCTTGGTCGATTGGTGTTTGCCATGCATGCTTGTAGTGTAATAGCCATGCTTAGCTTTGAGTTTTTAAGCCTATTGCATGCTTATATCGAGGTGTTTGCATGTTTTAGTATCATTGTGTATGATATTTCAAAGCTTATACTTGTGCCATACTCCCCTATTTTCCATGCTTTAAATGTGTTTGAGAGTTGTGCTTGTATGCCCCATTTATGAGCCTTTGCATGAGCTTCATTTAAATGCATTTCGAGTCACCATCTCATATCATTTTGCCACTGTTTTAGGGCTGCATAAGGTCTGTTTGGGGTTGGTTTCATCATTTGAACATAGCTTTGCATGATTATAGTGTAATGCACTTCACTAGTCTTTGGTGTTTGAGCCTTCTAGCATGCATAGCATCAGTGTTTGCATGCTTCGGAGTCATTTTGGAATCATTTAGTATGCCATTTAAGAGCTGAAATGTATGCCATTGTATGCCATGTTTCATCCTTGCATTGCTCTTGGAAAGTTGCATTTTGTGCCTTAGGCTTGGAGCCCTTGCATTGTGCATGTTTGCATGAATCTTGGGCCTTGTTCTCATCTCATATGGCTACTGATTTAGACATGGCTGAGGCTTGTCCATATTAGTTTAAGTCCATCTTTTGCATGTTGCTAAAATGTTGTTACATTGCTTCATGTTTGCATGCTTTGGTTACATCATGTCTTGCATGCTCATTGTTTGAATATTGTCACATGCTTGCATGTTTGCATGTTTGTCCACATGTTCATGTTGCATACTTAGCTCGCATGCTTAGGTTGCATACCATATCATGCATCTCTGGCCTCTTGATCAAACCATGATAGAGGTTGGAGGCGTCTTGTTTGTTTTGTGTGCATTTCATTTGACATTGAAATTGCACACTTTGGCTTCTCGGGCCATCATGATTGAAATGCGTGATTGGTGGCCCGAGGACCGAGGGCCACAATCCCTTAAGTCCATAACATGATGGGGAGGGTGGTTGTGCAAACATTTACTTTAAAAATGCATTACCATGCCTTGTCTGTCCTCTGCTACTGTCAAATAGGGTTCTGCAGGAAGAAATGGCCGACCGACCACATTCAGTGCCGGCCGGCCATGCATTGTTGGCCGAGAGCCTCACAATTGGTCGATGACCACTTTTCTATAGCCGGTGACCATCTCTCCTGGCCAGTGACATCCCATAGTGTTCATGGAGTGTTCCAGAACCAACCTTGGGACTTGTGCAGTCTTCAGAGGTGCAGGGCAGTGTAAACAGAGGCAACTGTGGCATGGCAAACGGGTTTCCGGGTGAGGCAAATCGAGCATGCATCATCCCATCATTTTGAAGCGGGGCTGTGGCCGCCTCCCTCCTGTAATTAATTAGAAGTTTTGTAATATTTAATTAGCTAGAGTAGTTAATTATTTATTTAGTTTGTATTATTTATTCGGACCCGATGACCACTTTTCTATAGTCGGTGACCATCTCTCTTGGCCGGCGACATCCCACAGTGTTCAGGGAGTGTTCCAGAACCAACCTTGGGACTTGTGCAGTCTTCAGAGGTGCAGGGCAGTGTAAACAGAGGCAACTGTGGCATGGCAACGGGTTTCCGGGTGAGGCAAATCGAGCATGCATCATCCCATCATTCTGAAGCGGGGCTGCGGCTGCCTCCCTCCTGTAATTAATTAGAAGTTTTGTAATATTTAATTAGCTAGAGTAGTTAATTATTTATTTGGTTTGTATTATTTATTCGGACCCTTCAAGCAAGGGCAATGTTGTAATAAGTGTGTGTGTGTGTGATGTATGTCTTCCAACCCCATGTCTTTCTCCCTTTTATTTACCAGCTTATGATGGTTAGATTAGGGCATATTTCAATTAGCATACTTATGCTCGCATGTTTGCATTCACTCATTTGCCTTGCATGCACCGGGCTCGGTGTATCATACTAACTGCATTGTATTTCAATTCCGAGTTGAATACATGTTATCTGTGCATCTCACATGCCTTCTTAGAATAGCCGAGCCTATCTTAGTTGTATCTTGCATGTGTTGCATTAGCCATCTTAACATGAATTAGGATCATGCATTGATTACTAACTAGTTTCTGTTTTGGCTCGGAGTACTCGGTGAGTGTTTATGCTTTAGCATCCTTGCATGTGTGTGAGTGACTGCCATGATAGCATGCTTGCCATGAGCCTAACTGCTTAAATGTTTAAATGCTTGAATGCCTGTTGGTGAAGGTTGGATCACTTAAATTGAAACAATTCATTGATTGCGAGTTTTAAGCCCACTTGAGAGTGGCAAAACACCATGTTTTCTAAGCCCACTTAAGGGTGGCAAAATCTGCATTTTAAGCCTACTTGTGAGTAGTAAACCGCTTTCAAAAACAAACATGAGATGTTTTGTTCCAATTTAGGTGATCCAGACTATACTTGTATGTTGTGCGCATCACATAGTAAATCTAGTTTGGTGATGACGGACACGTGGCCTTAGGCAAACGAGTCAGGGTTTCCTAAATTTCCCAAAATAAAATATTTAGGTGGCGACTCTGTATCTGGCAAAGCAGTCCATGTTTGGCACTTCTTTCAAAAAAATCTGTTTTCAAAAACAATTTGTCAGATTTGGACTCTTTGGTGATTTTTCAGTCTTACATTGCACTTTGCGAGATCAGATTAAAGACCGTGACAATTTGAGTCCTGAACTGTAGTGAGCCCAAGTGAACAGAACGGGATTTTTCTCCCGGGACGTTCGGGGACGTCTACAGTGTCCAAACTGGGTATGGATGTTGAACACATCCCACATCCCACATCCCATATCCTTACCCTTGTCATATCCGATAAACACAGGTACCATTAGTTGAGAATAATGTTGTTTAAGTCTTATGTGGTCTATGTTAGGTTTACAATACTCTAGTTGATCAAAGTTTTTCCTAAATACAATCTAGAAGTCATACAACCAAGAAGTCTGCATGTAATCCTACTTTGCAGAGGAGTTGAATAGCCTTACCTCATGGTGTAATTCATAAAAAGCTCTGGCATCATTCCTTTAGTCTTTCTCTTCTATTTTTCTTCTTCTTCTTTTTCTTCTTCTTCTTCTTCTTCAATTTCACAAAACAGTATTCTTGGATATTGTTCAGAGCCCCTAAACAATTAGGCCCTTTTACCCCCAAAGCTCTAGACAATTGAGCACATTTTCCATGTCTATTTGGCCTTCAAATTAATACCAACATATGGTATATATCTAAAAGTTGCTACTGTTCTTGACCCTCCAACTACCATAGTAGCCCTTTTCTAATAGATTTTATATACCCTGTTTTGTGCTATAATTCTACGGTGACCAAAAATGGGTAGCAAAATTTGGATGCCATTTGATGTGTTACCAATACATTGTTCATGATGAAATAGATGACCTTGAAGATCATTCGAATGGGGACATTGGCAATATTGCTAAGGAAAATGTGGAGGTGGACTTCCCAAAACTCATAGGGAGGTAGAAAAAATTGTTCGAGTTAAAGCTATAAAGATGGTAAGGGTGAATCAATAGTTGAAACATAATTGTTTTCTATCTTTCCTAGTTTTTATGGCAAAAGCCAAGTTGTATGGGCATTAAAATTATCTTTTATCTCATTATTGTTTGTATCCATCTTTTCTTTTTCATTTTTCTAGTTCTATGTGGGTAGTAAATCAAACTGCCATGGTGGCAGAGAAAAAAAGAATGGAATCTTCGCCGGAGTCTAGGGGTGTTTCTAAAGAAAAGTGGATTGAGGAGAGGAAGAATAAAATTGGCAAGCTTCTAAATGTGAATGGTTTGAAAAAAGAGCATGCTCCATTTGGTTGGGATGTCATGATTAGGTTATTTTTGTTTATATAACTATATAATTTTTGTTTGGATAAGCCTCGTATTATTGCATAAAATGTCTATGAGAAGCTTATACATGAGCTTGTACAAGGAAAAAGGGTAATTTAAAAAGTTAAAAAATATAATAAAATAAAATGAAAGACTCATCTGAATCCTTGACAGTGGCTTATGGTTAGTTATGAAGGTGATTACGGTGGTGGTGGTGAGAGCTGATTTGGTGGCTATGGAGGTGGTTGTGGGGGTTGTGGTGATCATGATGATGATGATGATAGTCCATTCCATTGTCATTGCCATTGTGATTAGACAGTTTACGCCACATTTCAGATGGATTTCTTGTTATCTCTAGCAAGAAACCCCTTACATGATCAGCTTGTACCATTTCACTATCCCTCTTCTGAGAAAACAAAAACACAAAAGCATAACTCTTTAATATGACAAATTGTTAGCAAACAAATTTGGTTGTATTTGCAAAATAAACTTTAGGTGCTATGAATATACAATCATTATATGTACTTCAAAGGAAAATAATTATTCATACATAATTAATCATTAACATTTCTCCAGTTACATGTCATTTAAATAAGTATTTTGTTTTAAAAGGATAAATTATAATTTAGGATAAATTATATGTGTGTATATATATTTCAAGAGTAATCATATACAAAACATAAAATACATACAAAAAAATTAGGATAAATTATACTCATCTCGCGTGAGATTTGGAAAAATATCGTTAGTCTCACACTTTGACGTATCAACATAGAATTTTGGTACTAGATTTATGCTTTAAAGGACAATATCAAGGTTGGAAAGATAATGGGTGTCGCAGGACTAGATAATGGGACCTAAAAGGGAATAAATTAGACACATTTAAGAATAGAATGGATAAAGAAGGTACTTGAAACATGAAAGATGATGCTAACACTATGTGAAATTTGATAGCCAATTGTATAAGGAGAATCTCAATGGAAGTTCTTGGAGAATCGAAAGGAAAGGGACCTAATTTTAGGAAAGCTTGGTGGTGGAGGGAGGAGATCCAAGTGGTAATAAAGAAGAAAAAATAGAGCTTTAAAAAGTAACAGAATGATAGAACTGAGAAAAACCTTAAGCGCTACAAATTAGCTAATAAAGAGGTCAAAAAAGTAGTAAGAGAAACTAAGTTGAAATCCTATGATGACCTATACACTAGACTAGATAGTAACGAGAGAGAGAAAAGGATATATATACTCACTAAGATAATGTGTTAGTGAAAGATGAAGAGATTAAGGAGAGGTGGAATAACTATTTTGAGAAGTTATTAAATGAGGAATATGGAAGTAGGTCAAAAGGGGATGAAGTAAGCAGTAATAAGGAAAACCAGGACTATAGATTCTATCGTAGGATTAGGAACTTTGAAGTGGAGTTTGCACTTAAAAAGATGAAATTGAATAAGGCTTTAGGACCCGATGATATACCTATTGAAATGTGGAAATATTTAGGTAAAAAGGGGGTTGTTTGGTTGACTATATTATTTAGCAAGACTTTGTTGACTAAAAAAATGCTAGAGGAGTGAAGGAAAAGTATTTTAGTGCCAATATATAAAAATAAAGGAGATGTCCAGAATTGCAACAACTATAGAGGAATCAAGTTAATATGTCACACAATGAAAGTATAGGAGAGAGTGATGGAATGTCGATTGTGAGATATAATAGAGGTGTCAGAGAATCAATTTGGGTTTATACCTAATAGGTCAATAATGGAAGCGATCTATCTTTTGAAAAGAGAAAAATAAAAGTATAGAGAAAAAAAAAAGACATTCATATAGTTTTTATTGATCTTGAGAAAGCATATGATAGAGTGCCTCGGGATATAATCTGGTTGGTGTTAGAGAAAAAAAGGGTGATAAACGATTGGATTGATGTGATTAGAGATATGTATGAAAGTGTGGTCACCACTATTAAATCGCTTGTTGGAGAGACGAGTGAATTTTCAATTATTGTGGGGTTACACCAAGGATCAACTTTAAATTCTTATCTTTTTGCTTTAGTTATGGATGAGTTGACGCGTAATATTCAGGATAATGTGCCGTGGTGTATGCTTTTTGTAGATGATATCGTATTAGTGGATGAGATTAGAGAAGGCGTTAACACTAAGGTGGAGATTTGGAGAAAAACACTTGAATCTAAATGATTTAGGATAAGCAGAACTAATACAGAGTATATAGAGTGTAATTTTAGTAACAGTCACAATGAAAGTAGAGGAGAAGTGAAGATTGAGAACCAAGAACTACGTAAAAGTGAACATTTTCGTTATTTAGGATCGATTATCTCAATGACTACGGATATTGGAGCGGATGTGGTTCACAGAATTAAGATAGGGTAGCTTAAGTAGAGGAGTGCGTCTGAAGTACTGTGCGATAAACGAGTACCCAGTAAACTAAAAGGAAAGTTCTATAGAATGACTATTAGACCATCGATATTGTATGGGACGGAATGTTGGGCAACTAAGAAATAATATGTAGATAAGATGAGTATTGCCGAGATGAGGATGCTAAGGTGGATGCGTGGCAAGACTAGAAAAGACAGAGTTAGGAGTGAGAATATTCAAGAATGGGTAGGAATAGTACCGATAGAAGATAAGTTGAGAGAGAATAAATTGATGGTTTGGTCATATACAACAGATACCAACAAAAGTCGTAGTGAAAAGATGCAATAGGGTGACAGTAGATGGTAGTGTTAGGGGAAATGGTAGACCTAAATTGATGTGAACTAGTGTAGTAAATAGAGATATGAATTTTTTTAATTTGACTAACAAAATGACTTTAGATGGAGTCAAGTGGAGAAAAATAATTCATGCAGCTGACTCCATTTGATGAGACTTAAGAGTAGGCTTAGTTTGGTTTGGTTTAGTTTAACAGTTAAGCCCTTTTTATCAAAAATTTGTTAATCGTATGTATGAAAAAATGATGTTGTCATCTCTTTTCTACTAAAAACGTATATTTATTTTTGTTTATTACCATTTGCATTAGTTTCAGTTGTTTTAACTTTACTAAAAGAAAGTCAGTGTAATTATGTCAAAAGTGTGGAACTGACTGTATTTTTTCTAATTTTAAAGAGAGGTGAGTGTAACTTATACAAAATGATGGATGGATGGAGTTTTGAGCTTATTACTACAATTAAAAAAAAAAGAAAAAAAAAAAACTCATCAAGATTTTCTTAAGAAAAATAGTATTCAAACATAATTTTTCACGAGAATGACATAAGAGTGGTATTTTCATAATTAAATTGTCTCTTTAATTTAAAATAATAAGTTTCACTGCAATGCAATACCATTATATATATATATATATATATATTGTTGATATATCACTTTTCATTTCTTAACATAAAAAATATCACCATTATCACATCATTCTGATGAATAATGACATAGAATTTTATTTTTATTTTTTTTTGGGTTTTTTTCATTATGAAATGGTAGTTTGTTTAATTTTAAGGATGATATATATATATACCTCAACTTTGAAAACGTTGGAAACAAGAGTTCTGAAGCTAGCAACATTGACGTTTGTGATTTCCAAGCCAAGAGAATTAAGAGCCTCCATCAACCTCAAAAAGCCACCATGCTTGTGCTCGCAAAATACCTTTATAAAGAACTCATTTCCATCTAGTTGAGCCACTTCTACATGCGGCTACAAATTGCCAAACAAAACATTTTTCATATCGTTGTAAATGTTTTCAAGGCAAGGAAAACAAAAACCAAACCAAAACTAGTTAAATTTGAAATGGGTTTGGTTTTCTTCCTGCTCATGATCTGAACTGGAGAGTGTTGTCCAGACAGACTTACTAGAGGTCCTATTTTGATAATTTAAATTGTATATTTTAAAAGATATTTCGTGTATATCATTCAAAAAAAAAATAATAAATTGATCTGATAATCTTAGTCACATAATTTTGTTAGTTTCATCTTTAAATTGTGAATAACAATCTATTTTTAAAATCATATTCGTCATTTATTTTTTTGAAAACAAATTTAATAAAATTATATAGTTACAATGAATGGATCATTTTTTTTTCTTTCTAAAAAATAAACTGTATAGGGGAGTTTACAAAATAAATGGTTTAAATTGCCTAAGTGAGAATTGTTACGAGTCTTATGGGGCCAACTATAAGACTGCATTTCTCTCTAGCTTGTTCCTTTCTAAAAAATATTTAAAAATTGTTACTGGATTTTTTAAAATGATTTTTGCTCCAAAGTGAAACTTTAAAAACACCAAATACAAAAAATAAAAATAGAACACAAGCATTTTTTTCAATACACCGGAAATATTAAAAAAAAAATAAAAAAAATCACAAGCAAGATGTACCTACCTCCATTTGGCGCAGCTTGTCACAAGTATTTGATTCATGGTTTTGTTTGGGTGGTTCAGCCACACCACTTTTGCTTGCTGTTGCTTCAGCTCCACGCTTATGAAACTCATTTGGAGGAGCCTTTTTATGTTGATCAGGTTTCAATCCAACAACATTGTTAGTTCCATTTTGGTTCAGAATCTCCGATCTCCCATACTTATTGTTGTTGTGATTATTGTTGTTGTTGTTGTTGTTATTGTTGGTACATTCATCATCGGACTGATCTTCAAGCTCATGTTGGAGATCTTTTACTTGTTTCTTCAACTCCTTCACGAACTCAATTGCATCCCCAACGATTGAAGCTTTATCCAACTATATGACAAACAAGAATAACCATTGGATATCATTAACAAACAAGTACTAACGTGTATGTTTATTCTCCTAGCAACTTCAACCAATATACATGGAAGGGCGCTATATGTTGATCTCAAAATTAGTCAAGATGCGCATAAACTAATCCAAATATTTGGTTATCAAAAAATAAAAATAAAATACGTACTAACATGCATGGTTTATTCTCCAAGGAACTTCAACCAACTAATAATGATTTTATGTGACTAATTTGGCTATATTAATTCACATGCAAAAACGCTATTAACACATACATAGACACTCATAACACATACATAGACACTCATATGTTTGTTGCCTCTATAGGCTTTGGTACTCATAGACATGTGAGCGTATGTGTTTCATTTTGTAATTTATTTTTAATATTAATACTGCTATATTTTATGAAGCACGAATATCAAATATAAATATAATACAATACAAATATAGCAATATAATTGTGAGTGCTGATTTCTGACCACATTGCCAAACAAGTATTCAACAGGAGAGCACAGGTAGAATGGACCGTGTCCAAACAACCTGTCACAGAAAGATAAGAATTTCGGCGGTGGTTCGTCCACCTGGGGACACTCCGACGATCAAGTCAGTACTCAGTTATCTCTCAAAGATAGCAAATAGTGCTTAAATCACTAGCCAGAATACAAAATGCGTACCTTAGACCCACGAGGGTGCCTTACTTTTATAACCAGCACTAACCTGATCCCTGTAGAAGCTTAGCTTTAATGAACTCTGGCTCAATGCTCATCTTGGACTTCCAGCCAGATAGAGATAAACTCTCTAAGAACCTTATCTTTATCCAAACTGAGATCCTCTACCATTCTAGGACTCTTGCCCATTATCCGCTCATCCCGAATTTTGGTATTTCCGCAAATAACCTTAGTCTAGCCAAGATCACCTCGGCGCCATGACCAAGACATGTGGCACCTCGGCTAACACTTCGATGCTTCCTTGGTCACATGTTGTCATTTACAAAATACGCCCCCACAACTTTCCCCTAGGTTTTATTACCTCGGCATCCTGAGGTAATTAAACCTATACCGTTTGTCCATGTAGCACATCAGCTAGAAGCTACTCCATCCTTCATGACCGAAATCATCACACGTCGGCCTCTCATGACCAAGACTCAGTGGTTTACTTTATCAATGACCAAGAACCAAGAACTGAGTTCTTCAAGTCCCTTTTCTGATCGTCCTTCTAGCTGAGGTTCTCGCCCCATTAAATCAAGAACTCCAAGAGTTCTATCTGCGCATGAGCTGTCACGTACGGTTTTCTCAACTGTTTCTGTCACGCGTCTTTTTCTCATAGATCTGTACCTGACACGTGTCATTAGGTCGCGTCGCTTCTGCGCGCGCCACCTGACAGGCATGTCGTCCAAGGCACATTCATTGTGATTTTGCCGCCTTTTCGTGTTTTAATAAAAACACTTTCTCTCTCCGTCTCTTCACTTTTTGTATCTTTTGTTTTCCCTCTGAGTCCAAGTTTTTTCTCTCTCTAAATCCTCCGCCTCCACTGCTATCGAGCTCCCTACAATTGACTCCATTCTTCCCCTCTGGCAAAGCATTCACCATTCTGCTCCATTCACCATCATCGTCTGACTTCGGCGTACCTCATATCGGTATCACTCTTTTTAGTAAGTCACTGTTTTCCCTCTTTGTAGTTTCAAACTCTGTTGCGTTTGTTTATTGCCATTGTGAATCTATTCATGTTCTTCAATTTTTGCTTGTGTTTTAAATTTCATCATTAATGTGTTGAGCATATTTGTTTGCGATCTCATGTTTGTTTAACTCGTATTTAGGTGTACATATGTACACACATACCGCTCATACACTTGTTATTTTGCCACTATCCTTGGCTTTGCACATCTGCACACACTTTATTCAATGTTCTTGAATTTTTAGTTGTTTTCTTGAGTCTAAACCATTGTTCTTTTCTATTTTTCTAGCTTTATTTTCAGATTCTTGCCTTTGATTCCTATATCTACATAGATTTAGGTTTGGGTTTTGATCTAGAACTCTGTTCTTTAGGAAAACCAAACCAAAAACCTCTCTTAGATTCTCAGAAACCTTTACTCCAATGCTCTCTAGGGTTTAGTCGAGGTCCTTAAACCCACACTAAACATTCTTTTCTGAAATTTTGCCTTAATCTTCATAAGCCGACATCGTGGGCATGTTCAAGTGGAGAGTCGACATCCCTTCCAAGCTAAAGTACTTTAGGAATGAGTTCTCCATCCCAGCCGATGTTCACCTGAGGCTGGCAAGGGAGGAGGACTCCATCATGCCTTATGGGGACTCTATGCCTTTCCCCATAGTGGCTTTCATAGAGTGTGGACTTAGGTTCCCTCTTAACATCTTTTTCCGACAAGTCCTTCACTATTACAAACTTAACCCAATGCAGCTGACTATTAACTCTTACAGAGTCATTAACGATATAATTGCCTTAGCTAGCCGAGAAAACGCTAGGATAACACTAGCCGACATCCAATACTGCTATACCATGTGTGGCCTGAAATTCGAAAAAGGCTACGTTTATTACCTCAAGTCGAGTCCACTAAATACAAACTCATAGCCGACCTCCCAGACTCCAATAAAGGTGCTGGAGATGATTAGTTCATCGTCTCAAGCAACTGGGAGTTCCCACCTGATGACGACCTCCACCTCTATCCTTTGAGCGGAACAGTATTTAAAGAGGGTAATGGTAAGAATCAAGTGTCACTTTACCTGTTTTTAAGTCTTTCTTACTTGTTCCCTTTATATGCTCAAATGCATATTTTTTGTACTTGCATCTCTTCCTCAGCCACCAAAAGACTTCCGCAAAATCTTTTACCCTAGCAAGGGCTTTAAGAAGCTGTTGGGCTTGCCAGTTGATTAGTGCAAGGCCCCTCTGCTGCTCAACAACATTCTAACCTACAAATCTGCCTTGCCCGACGTCCCCAAGAAAAGCAAGTCTCCACCTTTAGCAATAACTCCCCCTAACACTTCATCACCATGGCCTAACCAAGCCTCAACATTCGATCTAGCAAAGCAACCATCAATATCTGCCCCACAACTGATTCCTCCTGCCCAACGCCAACGCCAACGCCAACGCCAACGCCGAGTTCCAATTTCTACCCTCTGCCGGTAGAACTCGCAGTCGAAAACGCCGACTTTCTGAGTCATCGGCCTACGACCTAAAAAACCTACCTACTGCACTCCCAGCTATCCGCCTTGGCACCAAAGTAACTGTAGCCGCCACTGTTAAAAAGATGGGGCGCAAACCAGCAGTTATTGAAGACCTGCTCGTAAACATCCACGGGGTGGTGATAGTTTAATCCTCATCATCTCCTTTCCAACCAGCCCCAAAGCTAAAATGGATGAAGAAGGTCAAGGCAAAGGCCACAGTGACTCAGATCGATTCTGAGGACACAATGCCCATCTCGAAGCTAGCCGAGGCCGAGAAGAGCGCCCCTTCCGCCAAAAAATGTCCAGCTGAGGACCCAGCATCAGAGGCCCCACCGGCTAAAAAGCCGAGGTCCGACCACCAAGAAGGCAACAGCTACTCTCGAAGCATGACCTGGGCCCCCGAGATCATGCTCAACAATAGACCTCTTACCACTAGTGATAGTGCTGCAAATATTGAAGTTGGCGTGGCCTTGTCCACGGCAGTTTTTCTGTCCGAAAACATGAACCGCATGACCAAGTTGCATGAGTATGAGAATTTTGCTCTCATGATGCAACACTCGGTTTTAGTAATCCTCTAATATTCATCTCTTCATAGTTCTTTCTACACTTAAAAAAAATCTTACTAATCTGTTTTACTTCTTGCGGGCTATTCAGCATGTCTATTCGTATGTTGTAAAAATCGAGATGATGAGGAAGGAGTTGGCGAAAAAGACCAAGGAAGCAGCCAAATTCCTCTCTTTACTCAAGAAGGCCGAGGCCAGTAATCGCACTCTAATGGACTAGGCTAAGGACGCCAAAGCTGCTCAAAGTCTAGCCGAGGAAAAGGCCAAAACGGCTAAAGACGAAACCGGGGCAGCAAGAGCCGACCTCAAAGCTGCCAAGGCCAAGATAGCTAACATGGAGGCCAAGCTTCAAGAGGCCCTTGCCAATAAAGAGGCCGAGGAAAAGGCGGCCGACGAAAAAGCCTTCGAAGAGGGGCAAGCTGCCGTCCGTGACTAATACAAACAGTAAGTCAACTTGGCTTGTAACCGAGGTTACTACCTTGGTTGGATGGCGGCCCTCAACAAGTTGTCTGTTTCCATGGACTCTGATCTTTAGGATATTAGTCAGCTTCAAGTTCCTTTCCCACCAGAGCCCAAGGACTCCGGCGATGAAGCTGAAGATGATACCGACGATGGTGAGGCCGACGAAGAGGAGGGGGAGGCTGCCACTGATCCCAAGTCTCCTACCTTCAATGAGCAAATAGACTTAACTCAGGATGAAGAGGATGACTTGGTTTCCAAGGGCGTCTCTCCCAATCCAACTACTTCTGAGGCCGAGATCCAGTGCGCCGAGAAAAGTTTGGATCAGACTCTGCTAGAGATTGACGCCGAGATAGCGACCGACAAGAGTGCAACACCACCAGCCAATCAAGCCAATCCTAGCACTTAGAATATTTCTTCTTTTCCTTGTATTCTTTTTCTTCCTTTGTTTGTATTTTGTTTTGCTTGAATAATGTTTTAGTTTCATATTTGGCTGATGTGCTGCTCTTGTAATCTGAACAAGTAATTTTTTGTGAATGCAAGTTTCCTCCTTTCCTCTATGTGTTTGAATGTCTTTTTTTCTCTTATGTGTGTTTACCACTTTCATACTTAGAATAGTTTGGCATGCCTTCAATTTATACCTTTAACTGTATAATCTTCTCGGATTAAAATACCTCGGACATAACTTCTAATCGTTTATCTCGGCCTTGGTTTGGAGAAGGAGGCTGCCACTGATGTCAAGTCCCCAACCCTCAATGAACAAATAGACCTAACTCAGGAT